GGGTCTTCGTTTTGTAGAAAAGACCCCGTGAATCTATAAAACGAAGACCCTCGCTAAAACGCTTTGTCAGACGCCAATTGACGCGAAATCATTGGGTCTTCGCTTAATTTGTAGAAAGGACCGTGTGAATATGAGAAACGAATACCCTAGATTGAATAGTTCCCTTTGGCAATGAAAGTTTGACGCAAAAAGAATCAAATATTGTTTATTTGTGGCCATTCAATTCTGGAATTATAGAAACTACACACAGGGAAAATGTCTTCAATTCCTGATAGATTTGACTGCTTTCTATTTAAAGAACATTAACAAAACCAAAGTAAACAACGATGTGCTAATTATCTAACCGCAGTTTGAAATTAAAATCTCCTGTAACATATTTGTACTGACGTAGACAAGCATGCGTTTTCTCCTCGCTAATGACATAACTTGTAGATTATTAAAAATTGGATCATTGGATAATGCAATTCAAGACTTTTTATTGGCTTAGCCATTATGGTATATGAGCCAATATACCATAATCTAATATCTGTACATGGTAACATCCAGTTTCTTCTCACAAAATAAAGTCGAGAAGATTTTTCTAATATCTTAGGGGCGTTTTTTTTTAATAAAGCAATTATTCCACGAGCGCTTGTTGGATACGAGATGATTATTCTATCATCTCATATCCAACGCGCGCTCGTGGAATAATTGTGAAATATACGAGGAACTAATTCATACTAGAAAAAATGACTTCTACCTTCATTTACAGGGCTATCATTCTATAAACAGCAACTACAGGAGAAAAAAAAAGGTACTTATTTTTCCCTCGGAGTATCTCGTTTTACAAGCTCGCTTACAAAATTTGGCAGAGGGTTGATAATCGTTAGCTGAAACAAAGCTTAGCGAAATATGAGCACATGACCTAATGTATTAGGCCTATTCAGCCAATTATATTATTGTTTAAGGATCATTTTTAAGTCACGCAAACATGCGCAGATCTGAACTTCCTTTACAAAATATATGTAATTTTTAGTGTCTCCTTGTTTATAATCCTTGTCTGAAAGCGATAAAATTTGTGGCATAGCGTACAGAAACCTCGGCATCACTGCTTCTATTTATGAGATTACAGGCAAGATAACCACAGTCACTAAACTCTTCATTATACCGCCTAAGCAGAGGGTGAACTGCATACGTGAGCCGTTGTACGTGTTGGCACTAAAGTTAACGTCAATAGCTTGCAGAGAAAAGGAATTTGTCTGTTTAGAAATTTTAAAAATTTCGCGTCAATTGGTGTCTGACAAAGCGTTTTAGCGAGGGTCTTCGTTTTATAGATTCACGGGGTCTTTTCTACAAAACGAAGACCCTCTTGATTTCGCGTTAATTGGCGTCTGACAAAGCGTTTTAGCGAGGGTCTTCGTTTTATAGATTCACGGGGTCTTTTCTACAAAACGAAGACCCCCTTGTCTTCGTTTTTCGGTCTTCAATCTTCGGTCTTCGGTCTTCGTTTTGTAGACATCCATAATGCGTCTGGAGCATGACAGTTCACAAACATTTGCATCACTTCAGCTGTAGCTTTTATTGTTACGAAGGTGATGCGCTTCACTTCACGCGTGAAAAACAATTTTATCCATAACTGCCACGGCCTTAGCAACTTGGAAAGCTTGGAAAGAAATCTATCTCTTTCTTATGGCCTTTCTCCCGTCCCCCTCCCCCATCGTCCAGTGTAACTCTAACGCAAACATGGCTGGTCGGATAAACGGGCTTGAGTTCGCAACGTGTTATAGCACCGCAAGCTGCTTCTATTTTGGTGAATAATCTTTCCCCCCCTTCCCCCCTCTTTCCCTCTCTGGTTCGCTTGTTATTTGCTCTCCACTTGTAATTGAGGCGTGGAAATAGTTATTGTTTACATGGATCAACAATGCAGGCACAACCTCATCAACTTGGAGTGGGTCACGCTGGAATCACGAGTGAAAGAAACTGAATTTTTGAGAATGCCCGGGATCGGTAACTTAAGGTATAAGAACAAAGCAATCTGTAAGGAAGCTGTTCCTGTCATTCGTCGTAACACTGAAATTTGCAAAGCTGTTGATTGGGGCTGGATCGTTTGTATATGTGCGGCACTTGTACAATTTGTGGTTCTGGGAATCCACAACAGTTTTGGCATTCTGTACATCGTGTTCTTGAGGGAGTATGGCTGGGGTCAGGCATTCACAGGTATGAATCGTTTTTCCTTTTCATTCTTATAACACATATCGTTTCTCTTTCGCTGGTATTATGCGACTCTGCGATTTGTGACGTAAATTACGTTTATCTTAGTATGTAGAGCCTGGGGAAGGAATGCTTTTCTCACTCACAGTTGAAGGTGCCGTCTAAATAAAATAAAATCATGTTTGTCACGACACAAAAGCCAATACTCCCCCAAACACCGCCGTAATAAGGTAAAATATAGGTGTATTTAGACATGCGTTTGGTATTTCCCGCTTCCTGCGGAAAAACACACTTGAATTAATTGTCCACCCACACTCTGAAAAATTTGTAAATATATTTGTGCGTTCGTCATTAAAGACTGAGGAACTAAAGAATACATTTATATATAAATATTTACAAATGAGACTCCCATAGTCTCTGTAGTGAACTGGATTATCGATGGACAGCAGATATATAAACTTGATAAATCGAATGTTCAAGTAGACTTCTTTGCAGCCATTTCCGGAGTCACGAAGAGACTAAAAACTGCTGCGAGGGTGGCTAACGTTCAGGATGCTTTGAAAATTTATGAGTAGACCTTTACAGAACTTCGGCTGGATTTTTCAGTTTAATCTCGAAGACAGAATTTTTCCAGAATGAGGTCTACATGTATTACGATTGACCTTTTCCTCTATCAACTTATAATTTCCTCGCGGCTGTTGCAATGTGCGGGCAACAAGGATCGTTGTTAATTGCCGGAATAACATACACGTGTTCGACATGGATTGTGTAACTTCTGCCGCCTATGAGTTATTCTTGTTTGTCTCACCCAGCGTGACATGTAATTATGGTCCACAGTGGGAAAGTAAACATTCAATCAGAAACTGTCATAACCGTTGCACAATAAAGTTCACAATCGTTAAAATTAAATTGACAGCGTTTTATCAGCTATAGCTGGATCACACCACAACTTGAAATGTTTGGAGTGATGAAGGTGTCCAAATTTTTTTTAACATTGTCTAGCCCATAATATTTCAGTTTCAAAAGAAAAGAAAAGAAAACTAGTCTCAAAAGAACAGGGCAATATCATAAGACTTGTAAGTGCTGAGGGTACTTCGCTGAATTTGGGAAGGTTGGGCCGTTGACATTTCGTAGTTCTGAACCGATTTCCGTTAAAACGTTCAAATTGTAAACTATAAATCTGTCGACCCCTGCCTTAACGATCTGTAATAGCGTCTTGTGTTCGTATGATGTGCTCGCTAATTGTTCGCTGACTTATTAACACTGAGAAAATTTGTTTATATTTACTGTTGAAGTGTTTTAAGCCCCCTCCCCCCCCCCACCTATAATGTCGACCTACAAACTGAAGGTCGAAGCTGCTGCCAGTAGCTCTTTCGAAAACCTTTCATTTTCACATAATCGGCT